TAAATTTAAATTTATCAGTTTCAGACCATTCGAAATTGTAATACGTAACAACTGTCAGTCGTTTCTTTAGAAAATTTTCAATGTTTTCAATTAGTTCAATGCCTTAGCAAACTTTTACTATTTGTAGCCTTTCGCATTCTTAACAAACATTTAATATTTGTAGTAAATCGCATCTTCGGTAGCCTTTTAATGTTTTAAGTCTGTCATTCTCGGTAATATAACAGTCAGTCGCACCTTCAAAACCTTTTATAGTTTGCATTAGGTTATATCATCGGTAATATTTCATTGTTTGTTGTCAGTCATATCCTTAGCAGCCTGTGTAGCCATTAGAGTCTGGAAAGGGCAACAGTGAAACAGTTGCACGTAATGCATGATACATCATCTAGAGGAAGCTCTTGCTCTTTCGGTATAATCACACTCGTAACTAGGTGAGTAGGTACAGACACGTGGTTGTAAAGGTGTGAATTAAATCCAAGCGCCGTATTAAGGTCAGATAAGAATGATTTGCCGTTAGTGTATCGAACTATGTACGTGTACGTATTTTCCCACCTAGTCATGGATGTGAGGATACTGGAAGAGATGGGTTATCTCTAGATTACGTTTCCTGTGTCGTTTCAATATGATGAATGGTTTTTAAAAAAAGTAAATTAATACGTGTATAAATAAACAATTAAAAAGAACTGTTTTACTACGACATTTATTGAATTATTAGTTTTACATTAATATCTTAGTATGCATGTGAAAACTGTGGCAGAGGATAAATTGGAAAAACTTAAAATTTCTGATAAACACAAAGAAAAATGCTGCTGCCAAAGACAACGACATCAATAACTCTAACTTAGTTATGGCTTTAATCGAAACAACCAGTTACGTGATTCATATAAAAATAACGAAGTACGATGGAAAATATTTTGTTTATTTGTTGTTAAAAGCAAAGCTATACAATAGGCTATCTGTATTGTGCCCATAACGGGTATTGATACCCGGTTTTTAGCGGTGTAAGTCTTCAGATTTGCCGCTTTGTCACTGAGGGGTCATGCAAAATATAGCAAAGCTTTAGCAACTAAAACAACTGGAAGGCACGTACAGTCACCCATTTCAATCCTTAGGAGGGTCCAGCGATGGCATGCGCAGCGGTAAATATAGCTAAATGACATTTGTAACTACTTTTGCAAGGTAAAAAAGACTTAGAATATTCAAAATAGTTAAATGGTATCGAAGTTGATTCCAACTTCTGGCTATTCAGGGTATTATTCTTTTTTTTAATTTTCTAATAAAACGGCAATTAACAGACTGACGAAAATATGGTAATATGAATATGGTAATATAAAATATGGTAATTACGTTCCCTCTAATCGCGACCTTAAACTATAATTTTACAAATGTTTCCAGGTAAATATATGTCTTTCAAGCCTTGCTAAGCAGTATTCCTATTTCTCAAAATTTGTTGGACTTATTTAATCCTTTAAACCTTTTAATAGCTGGACTTTCAAGATCATTGATTGAAGTAATATGTTTTCTCTGTAGTGCTTTAGCTACAACAAAGTTTCTATTACCTTACACAATACCACACAATGGAACAACTGGTGGGTGGACTAATGTGTCACATTAGTAAGTATACTACAAAATATAAGTGTTGAAAGAGACCTACAATAATATTAGTGAAAATCTAATGTGGCTTTGCTCTAAAATAAACAAACAAGTTGAAATTTCTCGTAATTAAATAACTGAAACAGAGTTTCCCCTTGATGTGCTCACATTACATGTTATTTAAAGATTTCATATATAGATTTCCGTTGGCATGCTTACACTTCATACAAACTTTAACAGCTTAAGTAAAGTTTTACAATGGTGTGTTCACCATTCCTTGACAATTTAACAACTCAAGTAGTATTTTTCTCTTGGTATATTCAAAACAAAAAGAAATTAATATAGAAGTTTGGATATAGAAGTTATTAATATATGAATGACAGTATAAATTATAATTAATATGATTATTAACAGCGACATCAATACATCCTGTCCAGTTAATATTTGAGATACAACAGTAACATGGACAAATACAACACGTTTGATATTTGTGCAAAAACAAAATACCAGTATCGACAAATATCAAAGTTGCTCACACTTAATTTGATGCAATTGCGTGTTGCAACAGGCGTGAACCGTGGTGACATGTACAACATGTTTATCACGTGTGTATTTAGTTTACGTCGAATTCCCGACAGTTCAATGCCGTTTATGACTAAAAGATAAACACAGGGCAGGTCTTTCTGATGAGAAATGTCCATACAGCGAGATTGATGAATGAAGCAATGTCAAAAGACACAACATTTAAAAGAAAGAAACCTTTAATTCTTTGTGGAAGTTAAACAATTCACGCAACAGAGCCCTTAGAAGAACAAAGGGTATTCCGAAACACGGTTTCGAAACGTCCGTAAATATATAGACAGTTAATAAAAAAGTCACATTATAATACTGTCCGTATGCCCGTAAGAAAGTAAAAATATTTTCTTTCAATGATATCAGTAAAATCCTCTGACCCAAAAAACCATTGCGATGAACTTGGACATTTGTATTTGATGTACTGTAAACAAGGATTTGAAACTGACGAAAGCTAACACACCAAAATCTCACAAGCTATTAATCACATCTCGAAATCAAATGCTTTCACGAGAAAGGTTGAAGATGAAATTGGAATCACAACAACCTTATTCTATCACATACCTGTCAAGTCACCTATGGAATTTCGTGTCTTTGACATGCTTAGATGTGGTCTCGGAAACCTCATTCTGCTTACAGTTGGAGAAGATGTGTGGTCTGAGACTGATCTCGCAGTCTTCGCAAGAAAGAAATTACTTTATTTGGCAATATTACGCAATGATCAGCATGGGGTCGAGAGAGGAATTAGTTTCAAAAGGCAACGCAGGACTTGGAAAATCTTTCTTACAATTAAAGTTAATCGCAATATACTACATTTTAGCTTATTACTAGAATTTCATGAATATATGCAGCATAGCTTAGTTTTTATCTTGTGAGAGCTTTAATGTTTCTCTAAATATTGTGAGATTTATATCGCCTAATTTTAACATTACTTCTATACAAACTACTTAAAGCCTCCCCCCCAAAGAATTTTCTGTATTTAATTATAGTGTTGCGTAAATCTCGTATAATTTACTTTGTAGGAAGAAATACGTGAGCTTGACTTGCAGTCAGTGGATCGCGAGTTTGAACTTTGTCCCGAACACGTTCGCATTTCAATCCTGAGGGCGTTATAACGTAACGGTCAATCCCACTTTTCATTGGTAAAATAGTAGCCCAAAAACTGGCGGTGAGTGGTGTTGACTAGCTGCCTTCCCTCTAGTTGATCAACAAAGAAGATCAAACACGTGAAATTAAAGTGTGTTAGTGCTCTGGCCAAGGTCAGGACCATCAGATTAAAAGTTAAGGTCACGAATGTAAAGCTAGATTTATGTACGATAAAATTTCCAAATAAATGCTCTTTCGGTGTTGTCAAATGTTTGAAAACACCCAATAATTTTGCTGTCAGTTACACTAAAATGTTCAAATTCTCATGTATCATTCTTACGTAAATATTCCTTTTCTTAAAACTCGTTTATGAGATTCCTTTTTATTAGCCCCCCAGTGGCACAGCCGTATGTCTGCGGACTTACAACGCTAGAAACGGGTTTCGATACCCGTGGTGGGTGGGCAGAGCACAGTTAGCCCTGTGTGTAGTTTTGTGCATAATAACAAACAACAACAACAAATCCTTTCGATTAATTTGTGCTGTTTTTAACATGACCATAAGTAGTTGTAATAAATTATTTAATTCAAAAACTGAGCGATTTATAAGTGGTTTTGCTTTAATTATTTTCCTTGCTTATTGTCATTGTGTTCCCAAGATAATCATTTACCTTTGTATTGTTTAGAATGTTCATGCAAATATACTAAATGGCTACCTGCCCGTGATTTCGTGGGAGGACAGCTAGTCAACAGCACGTACTGTCATGTCTGGAACTACTCTTGTGTGACCGAATAATGGAATATAGTCATCGCTCTTACAGCGTACCCATAAGAACACGAATCTAAAGACTTATAATCCGGGCATGCAAACCAGTAGAACACGCCTAGCATTCGCTCCAGAGTTACCGATTTGCTACATTTAATGAAATAGCTTCTCACCTCGATGAGAACTCGTGCAGTGCATGATCTTTATTTTTGTCACTGTTCATAATTGGCTCTGCCATAATTAATTAAACTAGAATTTCTGTTAAAGGAATAGGCCTTTAGGCCATTTGTAGATACAGTAAACTTACACACATTTTTACATAATTCATAAATAGAGAGGATAAATGATACATACCAGATTATTTAACTCAGTGTTGACAAGTAAGGTGATTATAGCTTGGATCAAGTTTTCTTTCCATCCACTACGCGAATTACTTTTAAAGACACGGAAATTATGTTGTCAATAAAAACCGTGAGACAGGGAACCTGATATTTTTGCTCGCAGCACCTGCCTCTAAAATATGGTTACTGTGGTCATCAATTTCAGTGCTGGAATGATCGTTTTGACAGATTAACTTTATAACTTAGTTGATCAAGGTCATTTTCTGGGCAATTATATAATAAAGTGTTTCGTGTTGACTTTTGTTCTCTTTAGTTATTCTTAAACTTATATGACGAAAACATACTATTGTGTATTTAATACTACCGTCATACCAAACATACTCGCCCTTTCAGCCGTGTGGGCGTTATAATGTGACGGTCAATCCCACTGTTCGTTGGTGAAAGAGTAG